AGCAGGATTTATTAAAACTCACGTGAAATCAATATTAGTGCACTTGATGTGATATGATTAAAATAGCATATAACTAAGTTCTTAAGTTTCTCAGGAAAATATCACAGAATCACAGAATTGTAGGGGTTGGAAGGGACCTCCAGAGATCATCGAGTCCAACCCCCCTGCCAAAGCAGGTAATATATTGGTGTACTTACCAGTAAAGCTCTCTGAAGGTCTACAATGGACGTAGCCTGTGGGCAGGTGACCAACTTCCTGAAAATTAGGGTTTTTTGCCATTCTGAACAACTGACAGGTGGAACAGCAAGCCCATAGAAACACTAGTCAGCAACATCCAGCTGCATAGTAGCAACTGTACCATATTCCTGAAAGAATACATGAAACATATCATTAAGAATAGGTGGCATACAGCAATAAACGTTAAGAATCCTTCAGTGTTCTATGAGAAATCTTTAAGTACCATTATACCATAACAGTAGAAGTCTCTTTAAAAAAAAAAAAAAAAATTGACAATACATTTTTTTAACCAGAAAAGCAATAATATATCATAATTCATTTTCTCATTTGAAGGCACAGAAAGTGATCACATTGTTTCTCCATATGAGTCTCTTAATTAAACCACGTCTATGCAAAGCCTGTCATATAAACATTATTCCCCAAACATCCAAATCCCTGTAACTGGTCTTGTCTAGCCCCAAGTGGTGGGTGAGTAGCGCTCGGTTTTGTTTGGTTGTGGGGTTTCAGGTCTTGGGGTTAAGATAGGGATGTCATCCAGAGGAACCTGGACAGACTTACAAAGTGGGCCCACAAGAACTTGATGAGACATTGCACTTGGATTAGGGCAATCCTACATTTGTCTAAAGACTGGGAGAAGAATTCCTTTGGAGCAGCTCTGCTGAGAAGGACTTGAGGGTCCTAATGGACAAAAAGCTGGACAAGAGCCAGCAGTGTGTTCCTACAGCCTGGAAGGCCAGCCGTATTCACGAGCTGCTTTAAAAAAGGGGAGTCCAGCAGGGAGAAGGAGGTAAATGCCCCTCTCTGCTCTTGTGGCCCTCACTGTCCTTGTGAGGCCCCATCTGGGATACTGCATCCAGGCCTGGGGCTCTCAGCACAAGGAAAGATGTGGAGCTGTTGGAGAGTCCAGAGATGATCAAAGGACTGAAGCATTTCTCCTATGAACAAAGGCTGAAGAAGTTGAGCTTGTTTAGCCTGGAGAATTCAGGGCTCTGGGAAAACCTCACTGCAGTCTTCCAGTACTTGAAGGAAGCTTATAAACAAGAATGAGACCAACATTTTAGGTATAGAGAGAATGCTCACCTTAAATCTTAAAATGCAAACAAAAAATTCAGTGACAGCAGCACAGGGTTTTTGGGACAGGTCTATGCGCTGTGCTTTACAAACAGTGCAAGCAAGGGGCACTTCTGGGAAGGTATGATTACTGCTGCACTGAGAAAAATTTAACAGTCCAGCTTTTTTATTATTTGATAACACAATGATTTAAGTCAATAGCTATTTGAGTGAATCATAGCAAGGCATAATCTGCAGTAGTACTTGTACTATGAACCCAGTAGAGCTGATAAAACACTACGTGCTATTATCATCAGGCAAACACGTTGAGCTAATTTCAGAAGAAAGCTACAGCACGGATAAGCACTGCGGGCAGGCAATGCGGAACGCAGGAGTGCCACACGCTGAGCATCTGCCAAGGTCACACCCGGAGCAACTCGGGGCAAAGCGAGCCCGGAGCCGCGGTTCCTCACTGAGGGCTCTCAGCCGGCAGTCACCCCGTGCCCGCGCAAACGCCGCTCAGCGGACAGCTCGGCTCCCAGCGAACTCAGCACTTCCGCGCGGCACCCCCGCGCCTGCCGCTCCCTCAGCGCACCCGGGTGCCGCAGAGCGCTGCGCTGCCGCCGGGCCCAAGCAGCCGACGCCGGCGGGTACGACCCGGCATGGCCGCTGAGGGGCCGGAGCCCGCCGCAGGGAAAGCCCCAGGAGCCGCCCGGCCACCACGGGCATCGCTCAGGCGGGAAGCACGCCACAACTCTCCCAAACACCCGACCGCAACCATCCGATCCGCTCACCGGCCTCCACGACGACCGGGCCTCCAACCTTCTCAACCCGGCGCCGCCGAAACGTCAGGCGCCGCGATGACGCCATCAGCAACAGCCGCCGTCCTCCTGCGTGCTGACGTAGCGCAGCGGGCCGGGTCTATGGACGGCAGCGAGACTACAGCGCGCCTCGGGAATGGGGTATTCGTTCCGGCAAAGCTCCTAAAATACGAACTGCTATTCACATTCCCCTCTTTCTCTTCTGCCGTAATTCTGAATACACGCTGCCTTTCCTCAACTTGTGTCTGCCAGGCTCCTGCAAATCGGCTTGTATGTCCTCACATCGCGGTGAGGCAGTGGCACAAGCTGCACAGGGAGGTGGTGCAGTCACCATCCCTGGAGGTGTTCGAGAGCCGTGTGGCTGTGGCACTGACGGACATGGTCAGTGGGCAGGGGCTGGTGGTTGGACCAGATGGCCTGAGAGGTCTTTTCCAACCTTAATGGTTCTGTGATTCTACGTTCTGCTTCTTGAAATTAGCAGAACTTCTGTCTAAAAGGAGAATGCAAATTTGTCTCTACTCTACCTGGAAAAGCACTACTGCCATTTAACTCAGTGCTTTATTTAGCAGGGAAGAAGAAAAAAGAAAAAAAAAAAAAAAAAAAAAAAAAAAAAAAAAAAAAGCATTACCTTGGAAGATGCAAAATTAGGATTGGCTATAATCAACACAAACTGTAAATTTCACAAGATCTCCCATATTAATACTAAACAGGGAACATTCAGTTGGGGCTAGTGCTTCTTGTGTAGCTGTCCACTGAACTACACACCCTCAGACATACAAACATGCAGTTTACGAACTATTCCTCTTAATTACTGGATTCCATATAATTGTGTCAATAGCGTTTCCAGTCACACCTGTGCTTTGAAGTGTCATGAAACACATCTGAGTAGAATACTGTATGTAGATAAAATACAAACTGCTCAACTCTTTACAAGGGTAAATGATGGCAGGACAAGGAGAAATAATGTTGAGGGAGGGAAGACTTAGATTGGATATCAGGGGGAAGTTCTTTACCAAAAGATTGGTGAGGTGCAGAAACAGGCTGCCCACAGAGGTTGTGGAAGCCCTGTCCTGGAGGACAGGGAGGTGTTCCAGGCCAGGTTGGATGGGGCCCTGGGCAGCCCGGTATAGTGTTAGATATGGAGACTGGCAGCTCTGCATGCAGGACGGTTGGTGCTTGATGATCCTTGAGGTCCCTTGCAACCCAACCCCTTCTATGAAACTACTTTATTAATTTACATGCTTGTAAAACGTTGAGACTTTTCTTGCCAATAAATTTATTATAAAGCTTTAGACGTTGCATCTATATTTATCAAATAGTTTCAGACAAATTCACTCAGACTAGCATTAGTCTAAGTAATCTCTACTCACAATCTACTGCAAGATTCTGCAGTCAGCATTTGCGCTTCAGCTGAGTTCTACTTCACTTTAAGTTCCTTATTTCAGAACAAGAGCATTAGAAGGGATACAGTTTATTAATGAAAAAATATATAAGCTGCAAACAAGAGCTCTGTCTCATCTCATTTCTACAGCTCTCCTTCTTGGCTCAACTCACATCCAAGGAGCTCCTAACCTTGAAAGATATCACACTAAAGCTATACAACAATAGTCTTCAATTTAGAATTTTCTTAATAGCTGCTGTAAGATAGTATGAAATATCGTGTATGTCTTTTTCAAAGTAAGGTGAGGTTTCCTTGGCTGAGTCACCCTGAGCCAAGCTGAATGTCCACTAAAGGGATCGGTCTTATTTACTTGTTCAAGAAACTGAGAAGCCTTGAAATCCTTAATTCTGCTTAACGAACTTGGGATAAAGCTGACCCAGCATTTAAGAACACCACCATCAATTTTTTGAGTAATAAGTAGATTGCCTAGGATTGGGCACAACATCAGAAGTGCCACATCTAGAGGAAGTTGGCTGAGATCGTGTAGTGACAACTGTTAAGACTGCTCAGTTTCTCAGATCTTGCTATAAACAGTTGTAACTACATCCTCCCTATCATCTCCCTAGCATACAAGGGAATCATCAACTACACAGGGACAAGATAGAGGACAGGCTAGGTATTCTTGAAATACAGGAGGGCACACAGAATGCAAACGTGAGCTAGCTGCAGAAAACAGTAAGGTGTTACAAATTGAAAGTCAAAACTGTATATGCATTACACCTGTAAGGTGTACCTACAGGACAGTACATGTTTAAGTAGAGACCACACAGAAAATATTACTCAAAATTTAATTTGAAGTATCTAGTTGCTTTTATGATGAGTTGCTTCATAAATCAAAAACAGATGATCTTCTGAGTCACTGTTTCTACCTTTCAATAAATCCATGGTTGTTTGTACATCTGTAGGGGGCTTTAATCGGGTAACTGTTTTCATTTTCACGTTCTGTATTTCCACACCTGTACAAGCTCAGTGGAAACATGTAGCATATTTTACTTATTTCCAAATGGAAACAATATCTTGCTTCAACTTTAATGATTCTTCACATGGAGCTTTGTAAGAGTACTGAATTTAAAAGGTCTGCTGTTAAGCTGAGGTGTACAGAATTAAGGATTTTTCAGACAAGGAGACAGGACAATAATATTTAATATTATACTTAATATTTGTCATTATTATCTACATTAGCACAGTAGAAAATGAATTCAATAATTTCCACACTTCTCTTTTAACTGCATAGCTAGGGAGTTATTGAACAAATTAATGAAAACTCTGCAAATTATTATTAAGCATTCTGCTCATCAAGTTATCTGCACTACTGGATTCCCAAAAAATATTTTATCCTGCATGACCAGGTTACTTCCCAAGGAAAAAAAAATAATCCATGAATCAAAACAGTGTTTTGTTTACCTAGGATTCAAGAATTAGCAAAGATACATGTCATACTGCTTTAGAAATGACTTTTCATCAGTGCTTTATTTCAAAGTGAATTGCAATGCCATTTCATTATCCAATAGTCACATAACTGAACTCAATAGGAGTTACGTGCTAGTAGGAAAAATCACAATAAACAGTGCAGAGAAAAATTTGCTTTGGTTTTGTTAACCAAAACTTGGCAACTCTTCATACAAATATACAAGTTTAATTTCAGTAACCATCACTGACTTTGAAGGGGCAGATCAAAATGCCTACTAGTAGGAAGCTATTTTAGATGCTCTTTTTCCTTACATTCCTGAAACAGAATTGTACGGAGCCTGTAAGTGGAATACAGCCCAGACTTGCATCAAAACACAAATTATGAACAAGCTCTAGTGTTGGAAGAGACAAGAAGGGCCACTGTCAGAATCTATGAGACCTATTACGTTGTCTGGCAATCAGCAGCCAAAAGTTTAAATACTGAATTCTTCCTGCTGGACTAATTTACTGCCTCTCCAAAGTTTCTTGTTCCGGGCAAAGCTTTTTAAGTCTGGTCAATAAGGGATTTTGCTTGGCATAATGTAAGTAAGACTTTCACAAATATGCTGCTACTCAGGTAAGAAATCTGATATTTTATTTCTAATAAACAGGGAAGTGCACAAAGCCTTCAGGATATCCTTTGACTTAATGAAAAAAATATACATTATATATGCTCCTCAGTGAAGCTCATCAGCAATAATGCAGGATCTTTTTTTGTTAGTTTAAATCTAGGTAGTGTGAGATGATGTAAACTTCTAGTCATGCATCTTAGAGAGTTTAGTGAAATATTGGTACAGTCTGTTTAAGAGCAGAGTACATATTCGTGCTCTTTAAAAGATGGGTGAGGATTCCAAACTGGAAGCAAATAGCAGTGGCATCACAGGAGAACAGTTGGGAAGCCTCACTTTAATTTTAGAAGAAAATCTGAACATAATTGATTCCTCTCCATTAAGCAAGAATTTCACAAATACTGTTATAGATTTTCTCCAGGGAATTAGAAGTTTGTATCTTTTATACAGTGTATTCACTTAGATCTAAGTGAGAGTCACCATATGGTTAGGATTCAAAATTTCAATCCAGTAGCCATCGGGATCCTGAACAAATGCAATTCCTTTCATTTTACCTATTAGGAAAAAAATAGAAGGAACGATGAACACAAGGATAAAAGTAGGGCATATGAATAAATCTTAACATCAAATGCAGTTACTTTCAATTTTTTTTTTTTTCCTTTTGTATGAGTATTAATTCAACTTTAGACAGCTACTTCTGAAAACATCCAAATTAGTGTTTGATCACAACTAGGCCTTTGTGTGTGTGTGTGCTGGATTGTTAATCTGATACTTAATAAAGCTGCAATTTCAAGTCATTATGAAATCTTACCTTCTGTTGATTTTTTTTTTTTTAACCCCTGCAAGTGTTCAGCCCGTAATTTTGGAAACGTATTTTTGTGTTCCAGGATGTTTTGGCATGTTTTGCTAAGCTGTTCTGCCTTTTAAAGTTCTTTGTTCCTCAGCCCTGTTCATTTTTGCCTACACAGTAAAGTTATGTGCTCTACTAGTTTTTATTTGGTTGTTTCCCACTCCCAATCTGGATTACAGTACACATTTGCATTACTATTTCAGATAGAAGTGCAGTGCAGGAATGTTTTAAACAGTTGGAAAAAATATTCTTCACGAAAATAGGGTGCCCTAAAGTATTCAACAGTGAATCACAACAGCACAGCTTAACATTTTATCTTAAAGAGTTAGCCAATCAGTTTCCATTTTGCTTACCCTATGACCCTGTCTACTGTAAAAAAAAAAAAAAAAGTTAATTATTATTACATTCTAGTTACAAAAACTTCTGAGAGAACAGCAGCTGTGATTCACTAATGCAGGGGAAAAAAAAAAATACCACGAACTTTCTCATCCAGCCCCACAAACAATGGATATTAAATCCAAAACCTCATCATCTTTGACATTTGCTGCACAAGTTTAAATTCCTAACACTGAAAACTGCTTTTGCTTTTTTTTCCCCCTTCTATAAACAGGACAATTCTACATTGTCAGTTTCGTGCATTTTGTAAGAGGGAGCACAGTTAGTAGGTTCTAGCACATCCTAAGGAGTGACAGCTATAGAAACGCATCACTGAGCTGTCCAGTACAAAAATCTACCAGGCACAATGTATTAAAAGCAAACAACTGGAAAAAAAAAAAAAAAAAAAAAAAAAAAAGACTTGCATTACTGGCTAAGACTTACCATCATCTGGTTTCTTCACAAATTTCACTCCTAGTTCTTCGAACCTCTTACAAGCTTTATTGACATCAGGGACAGCAATTCCAATGTGCCCTGGGAAACAGAGTAAAAACAGTAAAATACACTAAGTATTTCTATGCATTTGAGAAAAAAAGTTTGCTCAGCATTTCATCTTCTGCAATAAGTTCACATGCTTACACAAGAGATATAACAAACTCAAGAAAATCATTTCTTACAGAAAGAAGAGCATTCCAGATTTTAACAACACCCTCCTTGACAAAATTGGCTTTTTAATAATGATTTTACAATCAGAACTTTTCAGTTACAATAGATCATGTTATTTGGATAAGAAGATTATTTCTTCCTACTGCTGCTAAGTTATTCAAACTGTTTTATCTATATTCCCTTTCCAGAGACACATCCACATAACAGGATTTTGTTGAATTTGCTTAGTTCAACAGCACAAGGCATTTATTATTAATGCTGTATTTGTAGATACTAACAGCAGCACCATGCTGAACTTACAAGTAACTTCAATTTAATATGTCAAGTGGCTATATTCAGTACCAGACTTATTTCACATACAAGTGACCTTACAAGCACTCAAAATATCAAGTTGAGCCACTTGAATGCTATCCTTGATACTACAGATAAATCCTCCTTCCAGCTCAAAACTGGTAACTGGTGCATTATAAAATACAAATCCAAATTCAAAAATCAATCTGAACATCATTATAATCAATATGCAAGAGCAATTATTGAACTTCACTGAGTGGTTAGTATTAAAATGTGTTAAATTAAATTAAAAAATTAGCTTTACAACAAGTGTAATTGTGGTTCTTCACTCTGAAACATTTTTTTATTTACCCATTTTCATGATGCATACCATGTATACATGCTGGAAGAAGTAAAATAAAGAAGCTGGTAGCACTTACACTTCTAAGTAGCTTACTAGAAAAGTCTTTTCATCTATACAAGTTTTAAAAGTTTACAAATCCCCCATGAAATAAAACCTTAACCTTTGCATTGATTTCATACAGATGTCTTATAAAGAGAAAACTGAAACTCCATTTTTCCCTAATACATCTAACTGTAATACATGTAACTGTAATCAAAGCACAGTAAAACAATGCATAAGAACAACATGCACTAAACAAAAAACCTACCAAATCCTCGGGGATCTGAATTGCCATTATGATAGGACTGCTTTTCATCATTCTCAGAGCCCCAGTTGCTGTAAGAAATAATTATTATACACTGAAGAAAAGCATCAAAATTAATTCCTTAGTGTTTAGCTTCCTCAGAAAGGCAATTTGTTTCTTTTCAAAACCATAGAACTTCAGTTGTTGGCTACATTCATTAAACTATCAAAACTTTCCTTTAACACAGCTCCTGGAAATAGTCTTCAAAGTAGACATAAGGGCTAATTCAGTCTAATTCCTACCCTTCTCTAGTACTCATGTTCCACATTTGAATGAGTCTGAGAAATGCTCCTATCTCATCCAGATTGCAAGGATGGCTGTGGTGCATGAGTGAATTTACATATTAATCTAGATGCAGAACAGTGAAGTGGCTAAGCACAGTGGCAGGGTATTTGTGAGAATATCTCTATCTCCACACTTAATTATAATCATTAGTATTAACAAGATTGTCCAATTCATATGAAGTGTTTTGACCTCTTTTGATAAGCCATCAAAAGCAATACTTAACCCACTGCTTTAGAGGCAACTTCAGAGGATACAAAAGAAGTTCTAACTGCATCACTTTTGCCTCAATCCCACTGTTTTCCTACCCAGATAAGCAAACACTATTTGATACTTATATACTACTATTCACCTTGTAGTAGCTCTAGAAAGAGTAAACTTGCCAAGTATCTAAGATCTCAGCCTATTTTAAGACTTACTATATAACAGTAAAGATGCTTCCACAGAAATTACCGCGTTTCTTTTCAATTCAATGAGACGTAAACTCATCCACTTCTCTTAGATGTGGTTGTCATCTCCTACTGTATTAATACTTACTGTGTCAGTTCAAGTGTAGCTTTTCTGGAGAAGGTCCAAGGTGTTCTCTCAGCTTTATCTTCTGGGATATCATTTTTATTTTCATAACCCAGGAAAAACAGTGAGAACTTCATGGGAGGAAAGTCAAATTTCTGAAGCAGTCTACATGGCAAAAATTATTTTGAAACAGTAACTAAAAAAAAATAACCACACAGCCTGAAAATACAAGTTGTTTCCCCTGTGGAACAATTACAGCTGTGGTTTTTATCTTTCTGACTGCAATCCACATCTTAAAATACTACATTTTGAATTCTCAAACAGAAACATTCCAGCACACTTTATAAGCCTCTAAAAGCTAGAAGAATCAGATGCTTATAGGCAATCAATAAATGAACAGCAAAACCAGAACAAAGGCTCCAGTCTGAAGCTGCCATTTTTTACTTGTACAGATTTTCTCAGGAAGGGCAAACAGATAATTTATGTTCCAGGTTTACAGAAACGATTCCCATTTAAAAGCATCACAAAAGTTACCATTTGAGAGTAGAATCAGTGAGGTAAAAGCTGTACAAGTTGTACACTGATAGTTAATGACCTATGTAAAAGAAGAGAAAAAAAATTCTAGACAAAGCCACTTTTCATTCATTTGCAATTTAGGCATTCAATGCGCTGTGAAGTTCTCAGAGATTGGCAGGCTATCCAACTTGGCATTAGCAGATAGGTATAACTACATCAACAGAACAAAAATACTTTTCATAAGAATGAAGAAACACCCAAAGTTACTGTGGCATACAGCTTCCACTCACGTCATCCCAAGAACTCTTGTATAGAAATCCAGTGACTTCTTAGGATCCTTTACTCTTAACATTGTCTGCTGAAATATAAAATCCTGGAAGAACGAAAAAAGAAGAAAAAAAAAAAAAGCATTATTATACATCAAACGGAATTTAACTGTGCATCAACAAAGATATCAGTTAATAATGAAAATCAAAACCAGCAAGTCTAGAAGTAACGAATACGGTACTACATACAACGTAAATAACATATTTTATTTTAGAATACTTCAAGTTGGAAGAGACCCACAAGGATCACCAAATCCAACTGCAGCACTACCTAAAAATCAGACCACGTGGCTGAGAGCACCGTCCAAATGCCTCTTGAACACCAGCAGCTTGGTGCCATAACCACTGTGTTGGGTACCTGTACCCCATCGCAGCTGCAGGATCCACTACCACCCGAGCCGGCCTCCCCCATGCCGCCCCACCGGTCACCGCACGTCCGCACGCCAAAGGGGCGGGGATGCTGGCAGTACCACCACGGCCTCCGCCACCCGCAGCCTAATAGCGCCCTGCTCGCCCCCACCAAGCCCACCTTCGTGCTGGGATCCGGCTCCGAGCAGGCGCCATAGGCAGCCTCATCGCTCAAGCCGCTCGGTTCCGCCATGTTGGGCGCAGAGGAGATGGGAGGAGAGGGCAGTACAAAGGTGGTGCTCCGCCCCATAGTTGCTCGGGTGCGCGCAACGTGACCTGCGCATCTGAGCAGCCTGTAGGCGCTCAAATGAAACGCTGATTTGTTTAGCACTTCTTTCCAGCTGACACCACTTTCGGCGTTTTCATAGCCCGGTGTTTTACTTTCACTCCATAAGTATAAAAACACACCTAACGGGTGGTTTATTCCTTTGGGGGATTAGAGATGTTAGTTTCCATCTGTCTTGAATACTCAGCAAAATATTATTGCTATCATTATTATTAATATCATTAATAATAACAATAATAAAATTTCTGTTGAGAAAAGGGGGACGGGACGTGGCAGACAGCTGCCCCTCCGCTTTACACCATCTTCGTCCGAGCAGAGCCGAGCCCCGCGCGAGCAGAGCCGAGCCCCGCGCGAGC